GACGGGTCGTGTCGACTGTGAGCTGTGCCGCCATTGGGGGCTAAGCAGAAGGACGGGGGCAAAGCAGAATTGCGCCGGGGGCGTAGAGGAACGACGGGGGCGAAGCAGATTTTTTGCGGGGGCGAAGCAGAACGGGCGGGGCGAAGCAGAACGGGGCGGGGGCGAAGCAGAACGGCGGGGGCGAAGAGGAAGGAGTTTCATGGGGGTGTAAGGTTACTAATAACGTAAAACCAGTAAGAAGTCATTCGTTTGTGTTGTGTGAAAATTCAATGTTTTGTTGAATTTGTTGAGGGCTTCCTTTCCTGTTGGAACACTCCTTAGTAGTTCGGAACAATAATCTTGGTTTACTAACTGACTTGTTTCTTCATATACAAGATATACAACTAACGTTATTATTAGGAACATAATGACACTGATGTATGATGGAAACATCTACATTTTCTATTATACATCTAGTCTTGGTTCAATCCGGATTTTGCTCCGCTTCGCTAGATGTTTCTCTAGCGTAGCGGAGCTAAATCCGGACGGTACCCAGGCTATTATAAGGCGGGACAAAAGATGACCCCGGTAACTAAAGGGGAATATCAGCTACAAGTTGTAGCAAATTATCTAATAGTATGTCAATACTAAACACACGTCTAACAACTTTTATGGACGAACACAAACGTGTCTCCCCTAATCATGCCGGATTTAGAAATCGATTTGGCACAAACGACGACTTATTCATTATACCCTTCTAAGCATATACACTGGTATACTCTCCGAAAACAAACGCATTTACTCATGATTACTCATGATTTGTCGATTTCAAAAAGGCATTTGACTCCGTTCGTTAAAGCTTCTCCCTATGAAAAAGTGTAAAAAAAACTATTTACCGGCTCCAAAATTTACATTGTACTGAAATGCCATTGAAGAGGCCAAATTCTATGGGAAGCCGGCTGGAAACCTCTGTTCATCGATTGAGCTAACCCCTCCAAAGTCTAAGCACTTACTTTTGTGCTGGGCGTACAGACCTCCAAATGACACAGACTTCTTCAGTCTCTTCAGGGAAAGCATGGATATATAAAGCTTTCGACACTTACCTTGAAACGACAATATTGGGGGATCTGAACTGTGATTTACGGACATGTCGACAAGGGTCCGACCGAAGACCTCAACCTCTTGTGTGACCTCTACTAAGGAAGGAGCCAACAAGAGTAACGGAACACAGCTCATCACTTATTGACGTGATCTTAACATCAAAAAGAATAGCTAAAGATGATAAGCTTAAGATCTATCCACGCCCGAATGTCTGTAGAGCGTTCTGTTTTTGGTGCCAGATTATAAACATAGCCCAGAAGTGCAAAGGGCTTGCAATTTTGCAATTTCTACTGCAAGACTTTTACTAGTCATTCGTAGAACTCATAAGTGATCATAACCGGTTTTGTTTAGCCTCTACCAGACTTCGGGAGGCGGCTGGAAAGAATAGAAATCGAGCAAATAGAGAGATAACATGTCAGGGTAGTTACTCCGCGATGAGAGAACATTTTGCCGCACCCGGGTGTTTCTAGGTTTTGTTTGTTTCGCATCATTTTAGCGATGTATCTGTCTCCAAAACTAACTTGAAATGACATTACCTTGTACAACAGTATTTTTTAATTAGACCAGAAATCCTTAAAAACGTACAAGAGCCTTTATAACTAAAAGAATCGAGATAATGTTTGAAGTTTGTATGAACTTGTATGCATTTATATTGTATAGAAAAAGTGTAAAAATATATTTTCAGGGTCAAAATTTACAGTGTCTACCACAATTGAAGAGGCAACTAACGATATGCCCAAAATTCTATGGGAAGTCGGCTGGAAATCTTTGTTCATCGATATGAGATTTTCGAGGCTCTTAGCGGAATTGTAGCACTCCGGCCTTAGGGTGTCCGCCGGCTCAAGAAATCGTATAGAAACTGTAAATCCGGTCCAAAAGAACGAGTGTGCTTCGCAATGCATGGCGGTATAGCATCAGTTGTTTCGGCAGAACAATAGAAGTTCAACGGCGGCCATGTCTGTGCCGGTATAACAACATATAACATCACTGCATATCTACGACTGCAACCATTTAAATACATGTATAAATACAAATGTGTAATCATGCAGGTTCTATTAAGCATGTGTTGAAGCCACGAAGAAGCCGCTATAATCTCCAACTTGACACTGCATCCGGTGTTGTGTTATTGGCGGGGAAACCTGGCGTCCCCACCGCCGCAAATCTTTCGGCTCGTAAGTCTGTAAAATTCATCAAGATTGAAAAAAAATTGCTACTGAGCACTAAGAGTAGCATACTCAGTAATTTTATCTTAGATTGAACATAACTTGTCTGAAAGTTGTGATGGACTGTTAGTTGGTCACTGTTACTTTTAAAATCGGATGTTAGTAAACAAATGAGGAACATGAACGCTGTGGCAAAAAGGAAATCGACGCCACATATAAGTTAAGTCAAAAGTGGAACGAAACTAAACAAGAAGCCATAGGCGACAATTCTCCGTGAAGTATTATATATTGCAACAAAAAGAAGTAGCCATTGGCGACAATTCTCTGTGAAGTGTGATAAATCGAACAAAGAAAAATTGTTTAAACGCGCGTCGGCTCAGTCATCTTAAGACGCAACAACCAATCAGAGATGCGAGATGCCTACACGTGACGCGGGAAGGGCGCGCGATGCCCGAAATATTTTTGCGTCAATATTCAGCGCCGTGATTCAAGAGATTAATACCCGGAAACAATTTTTTCTTGTTTTGAACGCATTAACATGCGTTTACGCTAATCTAGTATGATTCAGGGTTACTTTTTTTTTAACCTGTCCATGGCCAGATTATCTAAAGATGTGTGTATTGTGTGTACAATCTATAGAAAGAGAAATGATCATCCGATTTTCACGTTTCGGTTTTTTGGACTCGGTTCATGAACGTATTTTGGTTTGGCTCCTGGAATGTGCAAAAAAATGACTCCCGGGACTGTCTACAGGGAACACTCGCACATTCGCGGTGTATCAGGACAGCGCGACTGGTCGTCATTAGCGCAGTAACAGTTGCATAAAACGGACGAAACCATTTCAAAGAAATGGGGATGTTTCGAAAATAGCATTTACTCCAATATCAAAAACAGCTAACGGTAAAAAATAAAAAGACGTGCATCATCCCGGATAATGCAACACCACATGCGAAATTACACAGAAATGCGACGTACGGAAGAATGCGTTTTGGCTGCG